AAATATAATTGTGCCAATTTTAAGGGAGTAAGTAAAAATGAAATCAGACTTTGTAAAAATTCTCTCATCTTTACATAATTAAAAATAAATTAAATCGTCCCTATAATTCAAGTAGAGAATAAATAAAAATATTTTTCTATTTCGTACAAATCACTACTTTCTTCAATACACTTTTATTGGCCAAATGATGAGCGATGATGATGAGAGCCTATGATTTGTTTTTGTTTTTACTGGTTGTTGAGAGAATAAAAAGGTCGGTCACGAAAAGGGAGAAGAAGAAGAAAATGTTTAATCAAAAAAGAAGAGTTTTGAAGCGGTAAAAAGAAGATGTTAATCAACAAAATTTTATTTTTATTGACCATGATGAAAAATATAAAATGGAAAAAAAAGGAAAAAGGAGAGAAATGTCAAAAGCTAATCGCGCTGATTTTTTTATGCTAATAAATGGGGACATAAATAAATACATAAATGATTTTTCTCTCTATTTTTTGTAATCGAATGGTCTATAAATAAATAAACGATGATGATTTGTAAAAGGAAAAAATTATTTTTTAATTGTTAAAAAATCAAAAAATAAATTTTTGATCAGCAAAAAACTCAAGTCATAAGGACTAGGGTTGCTGGATCGGTTCTGTTCGAAAAATTGAATCGGGCTTCAATTTTTGGCCCGAAAAAGACTCGAGCGGCCCGGTTCGATAGAAATGAGGCCCGAAAAATGACTAGAACGTCGGCCCTATTCGAAAACGGCAATCCTAATAAGGACACCCCAGGGAACATCTGAAATGATGATGGTTATAAACGACTTGTCCTTATACATATGTATATTTAGATTTATTTTGGTGAGGAAAACACATCGAGGATGGGTCCCCGAATGTTCGTATTCCGTAAATATCACCATGCCTTTAATTCATGGACATTAAGAGATAAAGTAGATGAATGAGAGAAACTTTAATGAAGTAAATACGGTAATATGAGTAAAAATGAGAGAAGAAATAGTAAAACGTAGAAAAATTTCATGGCATCTAAAACAAGTTTCTAAAAGGTTATTTAACAAAAAAAAATTTTTTTTTGAAATTTTAAATAAAAATTAGAAGTGAGAAAATTATAGTTCAGCTAGGAGGAAATAGCAACGATTATTTTTAGTCTGTACAGCGTCTTTTGTCTTTATTTGCGTTTCAGATTAGGCAATAAAGAGTGTTTTGTAGACAGGACAGACTGAAAACAAACAAGATGATAGGCAGCCGGTCAGTTTTTAAAATATACCCAAAAGGTCAATAATTAAATAGTCAATGTTTTTTAGGTCTAGAAATGTTTCCTTAACTCGTTGAGTGACTATAGAAGGGATTATTATCAAAGAAGTCTTATTATGACTCTCCATCCATTTCGTGGACTCTTATCACCGCGATGATCAGTTGGGTGTTGATTTTTTTGTTTTTCGATATTGTGGAACCTTCAGTCATTCAGAGAAGGCAGTCTTTTAGTTAAACAAAATTTAATTGAAAAGGTAAGGCCAGAAAAGCTTGGGAAATAGTAGAATGGAGGGGGTAAAGCAATGGAAGTTTTCTACAAGGGTTTGAAAGACTATGTACTAGTGCTAAAAATAAAAATTAATTTAAGAGAGAACATAATTTACTTTACAATTGTCCATTTTTCTTGGACAAACAGAAAATAAATTTATAAATGATTAATTACATAAAAGCAATAAATAAATAATATTTTATGGAGGGGGAGTATATTGGAGGCTTGGAAATTTTTTTTAAAAATTCGAGTAGGGAACAAAAAAAAGCGAACGTGGAGGCTTCAAAAAGAGGGATAAGTTGGAAATTTGGGTGGGATAAGTGAGGATAAGCTTAATTGAAAGGGATATATTAGCAAATGGAAAAGAAAGGATAGCTGCGAGATTGAGGTTAAAACCAGTGGTTGGAAGCTCGTACCAAATACGAGTTCGAGAAAAAAATGGACAGGTACGAGTACAAAAAATAAGGCCTGTACGAAAGTACGAGTACGAGTAAATTTCAAAATTCCAACCACTAATTATAACGAGGACTCAATTTATTTCTTAATTTTATTAATTTAAGAAAGTTTATATAATTTTTCTCAGCTTTAATAAATAATAAATAAATATATTCTTGGGGACAGACAAAATAAACAAAAAATAAAATAGAAAAAGCAAAGTGTGTGTGGCTGGTGATTACTCATTCATTTTCTGGTCAACCCCCTTCCTTCTATTTAATTCTTTCTGGTCAAAAGTCTTGGCCAGAATTATAAAATAAATTCTTTTTAGTACATTTTTTGGTTTATATTTAAAAATATTAGTCATAAAAATAAAATTGCGGTCAAAAGCAATCAAAAAAAGATGATAAAAATTGAAAATATAATGGTCAATAAATATGCAGGTCTCTCTCAAATTCCCCGACCTTCGGGGACGTGGTACCAACCTCTTGTTAATAGTAGAGTTGTCGGTTCAGAACTAAATCGAACCGGGGAAAAGAGGATTTTTTCGGTTAAATTTCCGGATTTCCAAAGATTTTTTAAGACCAACAACTCTAGTTACCTAATAAACTAAGTCAGCGTCCGTCCAAACTACATTCTTGTCCAAATTGAATTCGGCCGGTCAAGTAGGGACAAGGGAATGTAATTTGGACTGCGATATATACAGTATTGACTCTAATAGAAGCCCATGCCCTAATAGAAGCCCGCCAATGAGGGGTATTGAAAAATATAAGTCCGGGGCTTGTATTAGAGACAATACGGTATATAAAGTTAATTAGTTGTTGTTAAATAGCTTTACTGATATACAAAAATGACTGTTACCCAAATTACAAATTTATTTACTTATTGATTGAAGAAAGTTTAAATTTTAAATTAAAATGAAAACGAGAGAGAAAAAAATTAAAAAGTTTATAGTAAATAAAATTTAAAAATTGCCAGAAATTAATTGATTGCGCGACGTGTGAAAAATAAAAAATTAAAAAATAAAAACGACGATTAGATGTAGGTGATTGGCCCGATAATTTTTAATTAATTAATGACAATAAAAAAATTTTTTTGAAAGGAAAAAAATTTTCGTTAAAATACCGTATTTCCTGAAATAGTACTCCCCCCTGAATTAGCACTCCCCCCTTAAATAGTACTCCCCTTTAGAGGAGGGTTGAAAAATAGTACTCCCCCCTGAATTAGTACTCCCCCTAAAATAGCACTCCCCCCTAAAAATTTTTCTCCTATATTTGAAAAAATAAAAAGAGACTCATTGAATTATTTTATTTATTCTAAGTAGCGTTGTCGGTTTCACTTGATTCTCCGATAAACAAAACCGGAAAGCCTTCGGTTAACCGAAAACGAACTGAAATTTTAACCTAAAATTTTTCGGAGATTAAAGAAATACAATCCGGTTAATTGGTGGGGTAAAAGTGGATTTTGGGGGATATAAAGGGATTGATATCTGATGATAAAATGGGTTCTGGATTGATCAAGTAGGATTTAAAAGATATCATTGGATTAAGGTTTGATGAAGGGATTTGAGGGGAATACACACAAGATTAGTTAACCCTATGAGATTAGTTAATAGAGGGATACACACGAGACTAGTTAACCCCCTGATAAATTCCTAGACAGAGATATTTCCACTATATCCCAAAAAATTAATTGATAATCATTTTATTAATATCATTTTATTATTATTGATAATCATTTTATTATCATTTTAATATCAACTTTATCCCCTCAAATCTCACGATATCGCTTTTAATCAAAAATTACCTGGCATCCCTACTAATCCGCTAAAACGTCAATATCCTTCTCAATCCTGATAATTTTTTCGACATCCAACTTAATCTATCGATATCTCTTAATCGCTTAAAATCCCATTATACCCCTGGATATCACTCCAAATCCACTAATATCCTTTTTGCTTTCCCTCAATAACCCTATTTTAAGTCACTTGTGTTTAAAAGTCTCGCAAGTTGCTCAATTTTATACTAATTTGGAATCCACATTTCTTGAAAATCCAAATTTGGATCCGGCATTTTTCAAATTACGAACTCTAATTGATTTAAACATTTAAAATTTTGAGACAAATTTTCCTAAGATAAATCATGGAGGTAGGTTGAAAAATAATACTCCCCCCTGAATTAGTACTCCCCCCTTAAATAGTACTCCCCTTTGGAGGAGGGTTGAAAAATAGTACTCCCGGGAGTACTATTTTAGGAAATACGGTATGTAGTCAATAAGTAAAAATGAATATATAAACAACTTTTAAATTAAAACTTAAATTTTACAATTTTACAAATTGCACATTTTACGATTTACAAAGCAACAATAATTTTCAAAAAATAAATCAAATATTATATTAAAAATTGACGGATTTCGATTACACGTAAATCTTTGTGTATGGAAAAGTGTACGTATAATAAAATTAAGGTATACGTAAAATTGGAAATAATTTCTAGATAGCTCTCCTCTTCCTACTAATCTACTTAAGGAGTGTAGAGAGTTTACACAAAATTAGTACTAACGCCAACATAAACTATTCAGTTTCAGGGAAATCGGGATTCCCGGCCCAAAAGACGTCAGAATTTCTGATTTTGGAATCGGGACGACACGATTTTGTGTGTAAATACAATCTAGCTCCTACTTTGCCTATTTTTGCGATTGCCTATTTTTGCGAGTTCAGAAATTTTTTACAATAAAATTTTCTGGTTTTTCATCCTTCAATTTTTCGATGATCATTTTACCTTTTATTATCCTTCCCTATTGTATTTTTTTTTGAATAAAATGAACAAAAACTAATAGCCAAAAAATGGTTGTTTAAAAGGCAAATTGCTCCTTTTGAGGTAAATAATAAAAAAATAAAATGAGGATTGTGACCTTGAAGGGGTAAGAGGAAAAAATTTTTTAGAAAAAAATCAAGGAAAATTGTGTATTTTAGTAAATACATATATGGCTAGAAAATTAAAAAGCTTTTTTAAATTTTAAGAAGGCAATTAAAATTGTAAAGAAAGTTAATAGGCAGAAAATGCAAGGAGAAAAAAAAGTTTTGGGTTGCGCAAGGATAGGATGAGGAAAATGACTGCAATTAAGGAGAGGTTATAATACGAAAAATATTTTTTAAAAAATAAAAAAATTTTTAATGTGGAAAATTTAATTTTAAAAATTTTTTTAAAAATTTTCTGAATTTCTTGAAAAAACTTTTTAAGAAATTTTTCCCCACCTCTCTCCATTTTTAAACGCCACCCAGCATAATCTTTTCGCAATTTGACCATTCTCTGATATTGTAATTTGTAAAGTTGCAAGTTTTGTAATAATAAATGTTGTTCTGATTTGTAATTGGTTTTGTTTAATTTGTGAAGCTAAATAAACTTGAGTAAAACTTGGAATTTCACAAAATTACAAATTGTAAAAAAAAGTTGTAAAAATTAATTCTGTTCTTCAACAACTTAAAACTTGGATTTTTACAATTTTACAAATTCTGATTTAAATTTTACAAATTGTAAAAAAGTTGTAAAAATTAATGTTGTTCCCCAATAATTAAAACTTGGATTTTACAATTTGTAAATTGTAAAAAAAAATTTTTTACAATTTGTAAAAAAACTTGGATTTTACAATTTTACAAATTCTGATTTAAGTTTATTTTACAATTTAAACTAACTTAAGTTTACAGACTTAAACTCAAGTTTAAACTTAAATAAACTTAAGTTTGTATTTAAATAAAACTTAAGAATAAATAAAAAAGCTTGTAAATAAACTTAAGTTTGTAATAGAAAAAGACAGAAATAACCAGAATTAATGATTAAAAATTACTTGTAATGAAGTAATTGACTGTGTTGGATTATTATTTTCCGTGTTGTTTTTACCCTCGTTATTGTTGTCTTCGTTAGCTTTGGGCTCAATTCCCAAATAATACTCAGATAGGGCAATATATTCTCTTAAATAAATTAATCTTATAAAAAAATTAATTTTAATTTTTACAATAATCCATCCCCAATCATTTCCAAAAGTTGACCAAAACGTTCTCGTTTAAGTTTTTCATCAATTATTTCACTCATTTTATTGCAATTTTTTATTTTTTTATTTTTAATAAGCTAAAATATTAAAAAAATTGTTTTTGTTGTTTTTTGACCTTGAAGAGAGAGATTTTTTTGATTTAATGGAGGGAAAAATAATAAAAGCACAGCAGGAAGGTTTTGAGTAAATTAGTTGAGTAAGTTTGAGTTTATTGAAGAGTTTTTGGCCTTAAAATAGAGAAATTTACAATCAAAAATTGTAGCTTGTTCGTAGTATTACAAATTCTGATTTGTAATTTTAATTAAAAATACAAATTCTGATTTTTTAAAAATACACATTCTGATTTTTTAAAAATACAAATTCTGATTTTTAAAAATCAGAATTTCATTTTCAACAAAAAGAAATCAGAATTGTAATTTATTTTTAAAATTCTGGTACTTTAAATTAGGGTTGGTCCCCGAGCCTTCGGGGTTGGAAAAGTCGGGGGTCGGGGTTTTCGGGGTTGACAAAGTCGGGGTCGGGGTTGCTCAAATTGTTCGGGGTCGGGGTCGGGGCTGAAAATAATGTCGGGGTTCGGGGTCGGGGGTCGGGGTTGAAGTGAAAATTTACAAAATCCAGCATTTTTATCCAAAATTACTGTTCAAAATCAACATTTTTATTAAAAAATCAACTTAATCTTCATTATCTTCACTTTCTGTATCTAATTCGTGATTAGTTGAAGGCGCAAGAAGTACTTTATCCAAGTTATCCTTCATAATCTCCAAAATCCCCAAACCCACAAGGTAACTCTTACTCCACCTCTTATGTAAAGGGATTGAGGGGATATGAAGGCATATCAGAGGATTAAGATGGATATAATGGGATTTAGAGGGATTTGACGGGATATCGGGGAGTTGCAAGGATAACGGGAGAAATCCATCTATCCATCAATTTCTCCTAAAGCCTCTGTATCCCTTCATTGAGTCTAGCGCCGCAGGCAAAAATTTTTAGAATTTTGGAAGGCCAAGAGACAGATTTCTTCAATTTTCTGCGCCGCAGGCGAAAATTTTGGAAAATTCATGACTAGTTTAAAATTTCTAATACTATTGTTTCAAGTTTAAAATATTTAAAAAAATAAATTTGCAAATTTAAAATCAAGATCATAGTTTAAAAATATTTATTTTTGAAAAGAAAAATTTTCTCAGCCTTATTTCCATCCCTGGATTCGAACAACATTCCTATCAAAATAGCTAGATGGCTGAAGTCAGTTAACCTAACCACTCAACCATCGACCAACAAAAGGAAACAGGAGAAAATATAAATATTCCTTTCCCTTTTCCTTTATATATTTAGCATCAAAGTTTCGATCCCGTTCCGATCTCTAGTTAATTAATGCAGTTTGAGTCGGGGGCATAAAAATTTTTCGGGGTTCGGGGTCGTCGGGGTCGAACTTTCGGGGGTCGGGGTTTTCGGGGTTGGGAATGTCGGGGTTTTAGGTCAAAAAATGTCGGGGTTCGGGGTCGGGGTTAGTCGGGGTCGGGGACCAACCCTACTTTAAATTCTTATTAAAAATTCTGATAAAAATTATTTACAAATTCTGATTTGTAAATCTATTTAAATAACAAATTCTGATTTAAAAATATGTACTTATTTTACAAATTCTGATTTTATTTTAAAGTTTCAACTTATATTTGGGAGCAGGCCAATGTACCGCAGCCCAACGTACCGCGCCCAACGTACCGCAGCCCAACGTACCGCAGGCCCAACGTACCGCGAGCCCAACGTACCGCAGCCCAATGTACCGCAGGCCCAACGTACCGCCGAACAAAATTTTTATTTTTTTGGAATTCTTCCTTGGTTTTTGAATTAATCCCCCGTTATTGAACCAAAGCCTCCATTCTTTGAACAACTTCCCCCGCTGATGAAACAACATCCCCCGGTGACGGAACAGCATCCCCCGTCATTTATTCAACTTCCCCCTTTGACGGAACAACTTCCCCCGTCATTGGAACAACTTCCCTGGTTCTTGGAACAACTTCCCCCGCTGACAGGACAACTTCCCCCGTTGACGGACCAACTGCCCCCTTTCTTGTATTAACCTCCCCGTTGTTGAAATATTTAATATTTGTTTGAAAAAGCCCCCGTCGTCGGAACAAGTTTCCCAAGTCATTGGGTCAAATCTCCCCATCAATGAACAAATATTTTTGTTGTAGTTGTTGTTGGAACAACTATTATTCATGTATTGATTTGCGGTACGTTGGGCTCGCGGTACGTTGGGCTCGCGGTACGTTGGGCCTGCGGTACATTGGGCTGCGGTACGTTGGGCGCGGTACGTTGGGCTGCGGTACATTGGGCTGCGGTACGTTGGGGTGTACCCCTTATATTTGTTTATCAGAATATTTAAAAACTTAATTCTGAAAATGTGTACAACATAAAACTTTAAATATAACTCGACATTTCCGGTAAAGAAATAAGTTTAATTAATTAATTTTACAATTTGTAATTGATCAAAATACAAAAAAGAGGAAATTATTAATCAAAAAATCATTTTAACGTTAAATATTAATAATAAATAAAAATAGATATATGGATAGAAAAATATTTAAAAAAAGCAATTATTGGACTGTTCTATTTATTGCTTTGTTGCGCACTTTTACAACTCCTGTTCTTCCTCTCTGGGAATTGGGACTCTCCCTCCTTCCCCTACTCCTTTCCATCATCTCCCTCAAAAACCCACACAACGATGGCCGACAATCGCCGATTGCTTGCTTGGCTGCTTCTTTTTTCTTTAATTTTTTTTTCAAGGGGATGAGCATCACCTCGTTGCGGTTTGTATATAAGGGAGAGTCTAATCTCACATCTCCTTTCCTCAGGTTGGCGGGTCTTTTAGGCGCAAGAACGTTTTGGCGCGATCATAGGAGAATGCCTCTTTATGAAAACATAATTCTCTGATATTTTTGTAAGGTGTCCTTCACATGGTTAGCTAACTCCCTTATAAATTTCAGATTTTTTGGATATTGAGATTTAGAGTTATGTTACAAAAATTTATTTAATACCCTTCATTTTTCTGTCTAATTCTGTATCATTTAAGATAATTGTCTCAGTATTGAATAAATATCCAAACATCTTTTTCGAGGTTAACTAACCCAATTTATAAATATTCTAATGGATCTAGGTCCTATATTAAGGCCCGGATTGGGTTCAACGCCCAAACGTCTTAATCCAGCCCCAAATCCCTCCCTCATTCCCTCTCTCTGGTCTGTTGCCCATGCCCACCTTTTTTTTAACAAAATGGCCTCGAACTGGTTTGCCTCCTCCTCGTTAAGAAGGGTTTCCTTCCTTCATCTTTTCTCATCCATTTCTTCATCCCCTCAATTTTTTCTTAAAAAGTGTCTTCCTCCCTTCGTTTTTCCTCACCTCAAAACGCTTCAATTAATTTTTGCCTGTACAACGTCCATCCAAAAAAACTAAACGAGCTACAAGAACAAACAATGAAAAATACGATTTGTGGTGGAATAAGTGAGGAATTTAATTTTTAAAAGTTTGCAATGTAAACAAGTGAAACATGTACAAAATTTTAAAAATAATTTTGTAAAAATAAATTTAATAAAACTAATCTAGGAATTATTTAAAATAGCAAAATATAGACTGAAAATAAGGAGTAGAGCTGTTGGCATGGAGATTAGGTAGGTATATAATTGTTTACTAAACGTCTTAAGGAGTTATTTTTAAATCTACTATAAAATAAAGTATGTAGTAGATTGTATAATATAGTTAATTCGTGGTAGTTGTTGTAGAGCGATGATATTTTAAGTTTTAAATGATTCAGGAAGGTAAACTCAGATTAGGGAGCAACGTAAAAAAAGTTGATTTAAATTTGAGAAAGTTGTAATTATCAAAAAAGTACAGTATTTCACCATCCCCTATGGCCGGTCTACTGAGAACTGCCGCTTAGATAGACATACCGGTCAATTAGAAAAATCATGCGGTTATTTATCTCATAGATCTTAAAAATAACTTACCAGCTTCAGAAGCCGGTATCCAACAATAATCCGTGAAAACTTACAACAAGCTGTACATACATTTTAAAAAATATTCAAACATTTAAATAAAATTTTATATCAAATAATTAATATTGTGTAAAACTTTGAAATCGAACTTATTTATGATTTAATAAATATAGATACCGTATTTTCTCTATTAGAATGCCACTCCCCAGTTGAATGCCAGTCTCTAATATAATGCCACCTCCGAAGGTGATTGAAAAATAGAATGCCACTTTCTAATTGAATGCCAGTCTCTAATAGAATGACACCCTTTAATAATGAAAATTTTCCAAGTATAATAAAATATTTTATCTAAAGCTATTTCTATTGATTTCTTCTTATTTTCTGTTCATTTAGTAATATTATTAAACTAAAATGCGGCAAAAAAGTAAACTAAAATGCGGCAAAATTGCAAATCCGAGATCCCGTAACGGGATTTTCTAAAAGTGTTAAGGATTTTTCCTTAAAATTTTTACGTAATAGAGACAGTGATAAAGTGAACTTGAGTTAAATCACTGATGTCGTGGGTTGAAGGGATTAAGAAGAATTCAGAGTGATTTCGGGGGATTTGTAGCGATTAATAAGGATATAAGTGGATTCAAAGGAAAAAGAAAATATTGAGAGGTAAAGAGATATCAGTGGATTAGACGGAATTTAGAGAAATATCGGGAATTATAGGGAATAAATAATTCTATATTTGGAAGAGTAGAGGGCATAATAGGAAATCTCCAAATCTTCTTACACTACAAATTACTTGATATCACCCTAATCTCTGCTTAATACAACTTAATCATCTAAATCTTTAATATCTCCACCATATCCTCTTAATCAGCAAATCTCGCTTTTCTTCAATCATCGATACCAGCTCTCTTAATACATCAAAATCAAACAAATCCCACTTAACTTCTCAAAATCCTTTTTATCCCTCGAATTTGTTAAACTTTAAAAACCATTCTAAAGCAAATATGCAATTTTCGTATTCAAATTAAATTCGATTTTAGCATTTTTCCTATGTCAGGATGAACCTAAATTTTTAGACAAATTGAATTTGCTAGACGAAAATTTTTTATAGTTTCAAAATTCAAACATCGAAAAATAGAATGCCACTCTCCAGTTGAATGCCAGTCTCTAATATAATGCCACTTCCGAAGGTGATTGAAAAATAGAATGCCATGGCATTCTAATAGAGAAAATACGGTATTTTTAAATTTATATAAAGTAACATGTAGTAGATTGTATAATATTAATTCGTAGTCGTTGCTGGTAATTGTTGCTAAACAAAGATTCTACGTTTTAAATGAGTCTGGAAGGTTACTTCGACTGGAAGAGCAACGAAAAAAAGATTTCATTTAAATTTGAGAAAATTTAATATATCAAAAAAATACAGTATTTCTCAATCCTTTTTCAAAGGACGCCCTATTGAGAACTGCCGTTTAAATAGAAATGCCGGTCAATTAGAAAATACATGTGGGTATTTATTTCATTGATCTTACTAAAGCATAACTTACCAATTCTAGAAGCCGGTATTTAAAAATATGAATCAGAGGCGACACTCCACTCATACTTTGTAAGAAATATTCAAACGTTTAAATAAAATTATATATCAAATAATTAATATTGTGTAAAATTATAAAATTAAAAATGTTCATGATTTAATAAGCACAAATTAATGAACTAGTATATTTTTTATATTTAATTCTATGGTTTCATGAGCCTCAAGATAACTCATTTTTTTAAAAAAATATAACTCAAAATTTACTTAACATTATTTATTTAATTAAATTTTAATTAAATACTTACGTTTAAAACGGACCTAAGTTCAAGTTTTGCTTCACTTGGATAATATTTTTGGATGTCAGTGTTTACTGGCAAATATTTATATTTTTTGGATTAGATTTATAAATCTTTGTAAAACAAAAAATAGTATTTAAAAATCTAATTAAAAAAATTATTTAATATGTACTATGTATAAGTAGAGTTTATTTGAGGAAAATATTAAGGAGTTATTTTTAAATTTAGATAAAGCTTTTCCATCCACTCTCATAATGCCATAAATTGATAACTGCCGCTTAAATAAAAATGCCAGTCAATTAGAAAGAACATGTGGATATTTATTTGATTGATCTTAAAAACGATTTACCAGCTCTGGAAGCCGGTATCCAAAAATATCCCGTTAAAACAACACTCACTGCCCATACTTCGTACGGAATATTCAAAGATTTAAATAAAATTATATATCAAATAGTTAATACGAGCGTTTGTTCGCCGCTTCGCGGCGAACAAACGCTCGTAAAACACCTTTTAATCTTTTACAAACGAAACCCTTTGTCTGGTTGCCAAAATTTATAACTAAAACCCCAGATAATATCATTTAGCCCAAGTCTGATTTCCCTCTTAGCCATCCCAAAAAGGAAGATATGATTTTATTGCAAACATCTTAATTTGCAATCACCCACCATCTTAATTATCATCCCAAATCCTTTGTTATTTCATCTTTCGCACTCAATCCTAGTTATAAACTTAAATCATCGAAATACCAGATCTGCTGTTATCACACTTAATCACACCCTAATCTTAGATATCACTTTTTTGCCAAATCTCCTTTTTCCTCATGTCAGCCCAAAATCAAATCACACTATAACCTTCAAAACTAATTAAATCCCTCTTTATCACATTAGTTCACAGATATCAGCCTTAATCTTCGAAAGCCTTAGATATCTTTCTTAACAATATCTTCTTAATCACAATCCCTAATCCTCTGGTATCCCTATTAATCAGCCCATTTATCCCCAAATCATCGATTTTTTACTTTTAACACCCAAATCTTCTGATATGACATTATCTCAATTCCTTTATCTCCTTCCCACATATGGCAGTTTATCCCACATAATCCGGATATAAAATCCACAAATCCTCTTTTATCCCTCTTAATCATTCCTACCAGATATCGCTTTTTATTCTCAAAATCCTCTCATTTTTAAAATTCTCTTATCACCCTCAAATCTCTATTTTGCAAATCTTACGATATCTCACTTAACCATCCCCACTTTCAGCTATCACCTTTTCCTCAAAAATTCCAGGTATTACCCTTTTGACGAAAATATTTCGTTATCCTTTTTAATCATCCCAATAAAATCCTCTTATCTCTCTTAAGACTCCGAAATCTCACATATAACTTTAAACAACGAAAATGTATGGTATACATCTTTAACACCTCCACCACAAACGCCCTATATCATTCTTTACTCACCAAAACAAAATCCATTCTATCACTTATATCCTACAACAACTTAATCAAACACAAAACCTCTGATTTCAGACCCCTTTTAATCATTTTTAATCCCTGTCAAGCACTCAATTCTGATTTGACCCCTTATACCTCTAAATCAAACTTTTCACTCTTACTTGCCTGTCCGCTTGATCCAATAATATGGTTTTAATCACAAAAATCTCCAATATCTCTCTTTTTCATTCTTAATCCCCTCATTTATCCCAAAAAACTCTTCGAAATTTTCTAATAGATCATCCGTCATCCTCTTCATGTCTTTTTAACCCTCGCCAAATCCAACGATTTCGCTCAGTTTATTCCTTTGCCCAATAAAACACAACGCAATATGTCTCTAAAAATCTCCGTTATCTCTTTGTTTATCGATGATATATCCCCTCTCTAGAGGAAATACCACAAATCATACCTCTTAACCTCCTAATCCTCCCAAATCTGTACGATAACTCAGCTACCATAATATCCCTATTAATCACTTAAAAACCCATTATACACTTTATCACCAAATTTGCCTCCTATTCAATATCATTTGGATCAAATTAATCAGTAAAAATCCCTTCATAACGCCCTAACTTACCCAAATCTCCAACATACCTCTTAACATATTATTTCTTCGAAATCCACCAAAATCTATAGATTTTGGGAGGTCATATCTATAGATTTTGGGAGGTGATTTGTGGTATTTCATGATTTGTAATATTTCCTCTAGAGAAGGGAGATATCATCGATAGGCAAAGAGGGATAACGGAGATTTTTAGAAATATAATGTGTTCATTCCTATTCGCCCAATAATCACCCTTTATCATCCAAATCTCTTTAAACTTCTTAGTATCTTAGTTCTGATATCACTCTTAACTTCCAAATCTCTCCTAAATCTCTTTATTTCCCAAGAAGAAAATATCAGTCTTTATGTCGCTAAGTCCCAAATATCACAAATTTTCCCCCCAAACGACTTTATATAATTCTTAGTCTGCCAAATCCTCTTATACTACAATCTTACTCGTTAATCCTCGAAATACGCCTCTTTATCCTAGAGTTGGCCGGTATCGGGATCCCGACCGGTATCGGACGGTATTATACCGGTTTTTTTGAATCCCGATACCGATTTTTTGATACCGACACCGAAAGACAAATACCGATACCGTTTTTGCTGATACCGAAACCGAGGCCGGTATCGGTATCGGGATTAGCGTCGGATACCGACAAAATACCGATTTTGTAAATATTTTTTAACACCCCTAAGGATTGATTTCTCATTTTTTATATGGACGAAATTAGCCGCATGCCTTCTAAAATTCTCAAAATTTTCGCCTGCGGCGCTGAAAATGGAGGAAATCTGGCTTCTTGGTCTTCAAAAATTTTCCAGAATTTTCGCCTGCGGCGCTGAAAAAGTGAATTTTTTGACCTACGGCCTTCTATAATTCTCAAAAATTACGCCTGCGGCGCTAATAAAGGAACAACTCTGGCCTATTGACTTTACAAAAATCTTTAAAATTCCGCCTGCGGCGCTGAAATCGGAAAAAATTAGGCTTTTTGACCATAAAATTTTCGGAATTTTCGATTTTGGCTCCTTCGGTAAATAAAATTTTGTATTAAAAATCAAGTAATGTTTATTAATGAAACAAACACAGGTGTTTTGTTAACAAACGAAGCCTAAACTAAAAAAGTTTTATGCAGGTCTGGTCCCCATATTGAGGGATATCATTCGATTATCGGAGGTATCCCTAGTACTCGCAAAAAGTCTACCGATATCCCTCCTAATCCCCAAAGTTGATTTGAGGTATAAAGTTGAATTTGGCGTATAACCGTGGATAAAGTGATATCGGAGGATTAAATGGATATCGGTGGATCTGGAAGGTCTTCTTTTGTTCCTGAGATGTTTTTGTCTCAAAAATAGCTTTATAGTGTTAATTTATCATTTTACTACTGATTGAAACCTTTTTTAAAATGAAGAATGAATTTATTTTTTTCAAATTAAAAATTTTTTAGTAAATACCGATACCGATTTTGAATACCGATCCCGAATCGGTATCGGTACCGGTATCGGTATCACTAACCCAAATCCCGATACCGGTTTTGGTCAATACCGATCCCGAGGTCGGTATCGGTATCGGGATCGGTATCATCATTCCTAAATACCGATACCGATTTTAGGTCGGGATCCCGATACCGGCCAACTCTACTTTATCCTTAATCATCGTTGATTAGTCCACGTCGGCTATCACTTTTTTTTCTTTTTTATTGCCGTTATCAGTCTAAACCTCGAAATACCTCTTAATTACACAATCACTGATATCTCTTCAACAAAACTTTAAGGGACAAAAACCTCCAAATCCTTTAATCACTTCCAAAATCAAACTTAACCCTATTATGTATACCCCAAATCCTCCCGTGCCACTTTCATTTTCTCCCAAAACTCCCGAAAACCATATTAAAACTCAAATCTCCCTATATCATCTTGATCAATCATAAAACTTAATCAGCATTTATTCTCTGCAAATTCTTAATCACAAATCCAATTTTTCCCGAACATAATCGGGGTCCCTAAGGACTCTAATGAGTTTCATTTAAAGTCTCATGTTTGCGACTAAGTGGCCACGATTAATTTTCAGTAAATAAGCTGCTGGCGACTAAATGGCAGACGGCTGGAAACGCCTGCGTTTAAATGGCGGACGGCTGTTTATTTTTTGTTTACATTTAAACTTTAATGGGAAATTAGAGAAAAACAACTTTATCTCTCTTATTGTTTAAAAGGAAAAATTTTCGTTTCAAAACAAATTTTGTTTTTCTTATTAAAAAATGCAAAAAAGTGTGACATAACCGATTTAGTATAGTTAATTATGTAAAATTTAGAAATTGAAAATGTTCATGATTTAATGAATAAATGAACTAGTATATTTAAATCTATGTTTATAATCTTAACGGCTTAGAAAAACGGCTTTATAAGCCTAATACTCATTTAAAAAAAATAGAACTTAAAATTTACTTAATATTATTTATCTAATTAAATTTTAATTAAATGTTTGTTTGTAAAATGAACTTGATTTGGGTTGTTTTAAAGGATATAATATTTTTGAATGTCAGTGTTTACTGGCAAATGTTTATATCTTCTGGATTAGGGTGGACACAAAGACCAGATTTGGACACAAAACAAATAATAGTCTTTAGAAGTCTTATTTTAAAAAATTATTTAATAAAACTTATTTGAGGAATATTAAGAAGAGTATTGTTAAGGTTGCATTCACAAATGCAATTGTTTCTTTCCTTTAATTATCTATCGTGAAATAAATTAATAAGTATTTACAAATAATACAATTACTAAAAACAATTGGCGAAATAAAAAGATTATTTCGCGGAGACCGGAAAATTTTTTTGTCTGATTTTGGAATCATTTTTAAAATTTCTCTTTAAACTTTAGTTCGCCTTGACATTCCAAAGTAGTACTTATAAGGTCCACGGCCCACAGACCCATTACTTTTTGTCCTGCTAGTAAATGAGGGAGGTGGACAACTACAGTAGTGAGCATCGGGTCCTTTAACGAGAAAATAATGTTAATTGAAGTCTGCATCCATCCTACCTGGTTTTCCATTGTTTCCTTCAAATCCTGTAGGTCCTGGCTTTCCGACTTCTCCCGGTGGGCCTTTTTTGAATAACAAAATTGACAAAATATTTTGAATTGAAAATTACCTGGATTTCCCCTCTCTCCAGGCGTTTCTCCAGGCGGTCCCGGCGGTGCTGGCATTCCGGGATTTCCGATTGGGCCTTGAGGTCCAGGGGGTCCTTTTGGACCCTTTGAACCTGGACGGCCTATTTGTTGGTGAAAATCGCGTCCTTTCTCTCCAATAGGACCAGGTTGTCCTACAACCCCTTGAGCCCCTGGGGGTCCTAAAAAATTAAATTTTAGACTTTCATTCAATTTAATCAAGTACCGTTATCCCCAGGACTGCCAGGTTGGCCATCTCTCCCAGCTACTCCTGGCTTGCCATTGACTCCCTTTAAACAAATTTTATCGAAAAAATATTTTTTCATGTCTCTACCTTCATCCCTCTAGGTCCCGATTTGCCAGTAGGACCAACCGTTCCCTGTTGACCCGAGGGGCAATAATAACAACGTTCATATTCAGGAGCTAATTGAACATCAGAAGCATCTTTATTTTTAAAATTAAAAATTTAGAACTCTTCTCATTCAACTACCCTTTCCAGGTACTCCATTCAACCCATCCTTTCCATCATTTCCAGGCTTTCCTCTAACCCCCTTTGGCCCTGGTATCCCCGGAGGGCATTTATTACTACTTCCAGTGGCACAATTACACGCGGCGTTCGTATTTGTTGAGATTCCTGGAGGCTTCGATTCGGGTGCGGAAGGCTCGTATACTTCACGGCGAACCCGCCTTAAATCATTCCAATTTTCTTCTATTGATTCCTTTTTAAAATTGGAATTAAAATTTTAATTAGGGGATTTAAGATTTATTTTAGATTAATATTATTACAAATTCTGATTTATATTTGTAAAAATATTTTTTTACAAATTCTGATTTTTATATTTCAAGTTTTAGTTATTCTGGTTTTTGTTCCCCTTACACATAAATAATTCTGATTTGTACAAAACTTACAAATTCTGATTTGTAATTTAATCAGAATCTACAAATTCTGATTTTATATTAATTACTTCTGTTTCTGAATTTCACAATTTGTAATTAGATATTTTACAAATTCTGAATTATTTTACAATTCGTTTTTTACAAATTCTGATATGTAATTGTAACAATATTTTTGCAAATTCTGATTTTTATTTTTTAAATTCTGATTTCGATTTGTGTTAATTCTTTTTCTGAATTTTACAATTTGTATTTAAAGGTTTTACAAATTCTAATATGTATTAATATTTTGAAAAATAAATTTACAATTCTGAAAATTACAAATTCTGAAATATTTTACAATTCTTTTTTCACAAACTTTGATCAGAATTTTATTTTTAAAAATAAACTTTCCCTACCCTAAATTGCCTTACACCAGCATCCACTTCCTCCCAAAATCCACTAATTTCTTGCTGAATTTGTATCATTGCAAATAATGAAATTACAAGTACAATTCCGCTTGTTGCAGAAGCAAGAAATGCTGAATAACGTATTTCTTTAGGCAAAATGTTTGTAGTAGCCATTCCAGCTATTTAAAATTTTTTTTTATTTTCTCCTTAATTACCCTAAATATTGTGAAAAATTTTAGAGAGAATAATTAAATGAATAAATTAGAGGAGAGAAGATTTTTAATATATTTACAGGTTGTTAAAATAAACAACAAAAAAAATTTTTTTAGTTGACCAACTCGCTTTTATTTTTTTTATAAGAAAAAAATATGGAGAAAGCTTAGTGAAAGCAATAAAAATAACCAATGACTTTTTAAATCGGCTGGTTGTGTGATGGTTTTTAATCTTTTCCCTTTTGATCCCTAGCCTGTCCGGTTCAGGTTCAATCGAACGGGCGCTCCTCTTTTTGTTGTTATCCTTGGATAATCAAAAATATCACCTTCTGATAAATCAAGATTTCTTTGAGCAAAATTTGGTTGATTAAAGTAGAAGTAGGGAGTTAGTAGAGAGAATGTGGTATTTTTAAGAGAATTGGGTAGCGAGAGTTATGGTGCTATACAAGGACGAGACACGGTCACCTTTCAATTTAACGACTCCAGATTTGTGGAATACTCTGTTTGGTCCACTTTAAATGTATGGGATGGACCACTCTCAACCTTTGCTCCTTAATTTTTTCTCAATATCTTGAGGACCCTTCTCAAAAATCTTGAGGGCCCTCATTGTGGTATACAAGGAGGGGACACGGTCATCTTTAAATTTAACGATTCTGGATTTGTGGCCCACTTTGTTTGGACCACTCTACATGTATGGACCACTCTGATGAACCTTTTCTCCTTTTTCCTCAAGATTTTGAGACCCTTCTCAAAAATCTTGAGGGCCCTCCGTATTCCTTATATTGACGATTTAATTTCTTTTAGGTGCTTCCATTTTTCGTAAACTTTCCAACTTTCCCAAGAACGAGGGCAAAACATTGTAACTAAATTTGCCTTTCTAGAAAGTGATTTTATGGGTAATCCATTAGAATGTTTGTTAGTCTAGGTAAAAGGTCCAGTCTTTTTTCATTCATTTCTCACCTCCAGTTAAATGTTTTTTTTTTCAATATTTAAAGTAGCTGGGTAAATAATATTTGGCGCCGCACAGTCGCTACTTATCTCCTGCGCGACCCCTTACGCTTGGGCGGTAATTAATAAGAAGCGGGTGTGTTTTTATGGATAAAAATATGAAAAAAAGGAAGAAGAAATAAATTATATAAAAATTTTGGACGGCAAATGGATGATAAAAAAAATTTTTTTCGGCAATGAACAAAGTGAATAGTAGCAATTTAATGAATTTGGTAGACCAAGAAAGAAGGCTACAGTATATCCTTTAATAACTACCCGGGGTAATTATTATTTCGTTCTTCCGCTGATGGGAGTAATTAATCGAGGGAGGGTAATTATACATGGTTTGAAATTTGAACGTGTTTTAGGGCATTTGATTGAGTTTTAGGGCATTGATAACATTGGAAGAAATGGTACAATCCTGACCAATTCTGAGGTAATTTGAAGACTACAGTAGTTAACCCACAGTCACCGTCGTGGCTGGCACTAAGCTAATCCTCATCAAGTGGTGGAGGGGTCCGACAAAACCTAAAGGGAGAGGGCATGCCGCGGTAAAGATCAAAGGGAGTGGACACTGTTGTGGGGTGGAGGGGTCCGATAAAAGGGAGAGTGCGTCGGCAAAGATCAAAGGGAGTGGGCACTGTCGTGGGGAGGAATGAGAAAACCCAAAAGAGGGGTGGATAATTTTAAAATATCAACGTCGCGGGTGGCAATAACACATAATCATGCCGTGTCTGCTAATAATCCTATAATATTTTTAGGGTTAGATTTGACGTAATCATGTAGAACGAAATGGATGAGTGATTAATTAGTAGAGAATGAGTAATTTGCAAACCATCACTCTCGAGAATTCGTACATTACTAGATTACAACCATGAAACATGACCCATTAACCATTATCACTAATCAAAGGGATTAATTTTGACGTTACTGTAAGTGATTAACGATGCAGGTGATTATTCTAGATGTTACTATAAGTAATTACCTTAAGCGGTGATTATTATATTTTATATATTTAATGATGATTTGTTATCGGTTACTCAGGCTGTTAATTAAAGTGATAGATGATAATTTTTTACCAAATTAAAATTCTTTATTTTCAATCCCCAATTCCTTTTTTTTTGCTCCCCCAAAATTTTGCCTTTGTTTTTAATACATTTTCAGAAATATAATTGACCTTGACCTAATAAAAATTTGACCTTAATCCTTTATTTTTTATTAAATTTAAAAATTTTTTAAAATTTTCTCTTTGATGTTGCCGATATTTTAAATTTATGCAAATTAACCTTTTAAAAACTCTTTGAAGATGCCGCCTATATTTTAAAATTTTTTAAAACTTATTTTCTCTTAAATTTATACAAATTAATGTTTTAAAACCTCTTTGAAGTTGCCGCCTTTATTTCATAAGTAAAAGTTTTGTCAAAATATTTCATATAAAAACAAAGATTTTTTAAATTTATTTCTCATTTGTATTCATTTTACAGAAAGTTTAAATAATTTAAAATATTTATTAATTTCATTTGCTCCTCATTTTTATTTTAATAGGAGCTCTTTTTTGCTCCCCATAAATTTTTGCTCTTTATTCATAGGAGCTCTTTTTTCATAGGATTTTTTCAATAATGGACTATATTCCTCCAACAAAACGCGCAAGAGCGTTCTTTATTGATAACCTCCTCTCTATCAATCAATCAGGAGGAGATGCTTTACAATATATTGAACAACTAGAAAATACTACAAAATACATCAATAAATTCAAAATCACCAAAAATTACACAAAATTCCTTATTCAGAATATTCCGGCCGACCCTGAGGCCTTATTATCAGGAATATTCCAGCACTGTTTCAACGAAGCCATGAACAACGCAAGAAACAATGGACTTGAACCGGAGGAGCTGAGCTGCACAGTAACAAGTGAGTTATTAGATTCTGATATATGGATACCCCTTAGGCCCTCATCACAAAACACCTTCAATACCCTGCTTAATCAATTTAATAAGGTTTCTCAAAGTAAAAAGCAGGCTGGAGTTACACTTTGGGGAAAACCCTTTTCAGTTAATGTTATGGTTGTTGATAAGAAGAATTTGGTCAATGAGAGTAACATTATTGGCGGAGCTCCTCGAAAAATTGCTCCTATTCATCATCAGATCAAGGAGCAGAATTTAATCAAAATTAACAACAACAACGATGGTTATTGCTTATTTTATTCTTTATTAGCAACACTTGTGCGGCTTATTGGAAACATGTCTCGTTCTCAATTTTACGACTACATTCATAGTCGTTTCGGATCAAGAGGACGATTTGAGAGGGAAACTTTGGAGCTGATGGATCAAGTTGGAGCTCCTCTTGGTCAGAAGGAGTACAATGCTGAAGAGTGGGTCCCTCCCGTGGTTGACTTTTGGAATGGATTGTATTCAGGCCAGTTTTGTTTTAAAGTTTTCATTTTTGATTGTTTGGGGCACTACAAGCCCTGCTTTAAATATGGTCCCGACAATTATAATTCCCCATTGCTCCTCTATTTTGATGGCTCTCATTTTAATGGAGTTACGAGTACAGGAGGGCTTTTTGGACAACCTTATTGTTTGGAATGTGAAACTGTGTATCAACGTCCGCAACAACATTCTGCTTCATGCCGTGCACACTGTTTGAATTGCTCTCGTGTTGGTCCACTTTACCCCTGCCCTCCTAGGAATAATTTTTCCAAAAAATGCAATGGGTGCTCCAAGAGCTTTAACAACGAAAATTGCTTCGACCATCATCTGAGTTCACGATATTGTCAACAGTCCAAACGTTGTGAGAAGTGTGGAGTAATTTGGGATACAAAAGACAATACAAGAGGAGGCAGGAGCGGCCACATTTGCAATGAGAGGTATTGTTCAACTTGCTCAGGATACCACGACCCACAGCGCGGCTGCTTTATTAAGCCTTTGGAGCCCAAGGAGCAAAAACCCTATCGATTTGTAGCTTTTGATCTGGAGACTATGCAGCATGTCTCAGATGGAAACAACAAGAGAAATCACCAAGCAAATTTTATCGCAGCAAGAGTTACATGTCCCAAATGTATTGAAGAGGAGCAGGAGCAGTGTAAAGTTTGTGGGAGCAACAAACTTGTAACTTTTTCGGAGCGCCCATTTTCCAGAACTCCCGTAGATCTACAGAAAGTCACCGAGGATCCAATCATCTCCTTTGTCAAATGGATAATTGAATTAACAACAGACTACGACACCATCGCCTTTTCACATTTCGGAGGGAGGTTTGATATGGTAATAGTTTTCCGGGAGCTCTTTCTTATGGGTTTTACTCCTGAAATGCTGAAGAGAGGAAATAAAATGTATGAGATGAAAGTGAAAATTGGGAAGAAAAATATGCTCATCTTCAGGGACAGTTTCAACCTGATGCCAATGTCTTTGGCATCTCTTGTCCCAGCCTTTGCTCTTGAGGTTGAGGACAAGCCTTTCTTCCCCCACCTCATCAATCAGCCTAAGTATTATGGAAAAGAGGTGTTTCCCATCCCTTCTGACTACTTCGCAGATGGGATGATGCCAGAGAAGAGAAAAGAATTTGATCGATGGTATGATCAGCACAAGGAGCTCCCATTCTTCTTGGATGAGGAGTTGGCAGCATATTGCACCAATGATGTGGAAATACTCCTAGCAGCTCTTATTGCTTTTAGACGCGAATTCATGGATGTTACAAAAAGAGCTCCTTGTCAAAGAGCTGCATCAAATAAGGCGCACAATGGTATTGACGTTTTAAGGGAATCAATGACCATTGCATCCGCATGTATGAACCATTTTCGAACTAATCACTTGAAAGAAAACCATTTGGCTCTTGTCCCAGAGAAAGGCTACGATAATGTGGATAATCAGAGCCGTCTTGCTCTCAAATTCATGAAATGGTATGAGGAGGAGCATGGAGTAAATATTCAAACTGCTCATTCAGATGGAGGGGAGAAAAAAGTTGGGAATTACAAGTTGG